ACTGAGACAGGTCAAATAACAGATAGTGATGAAGAGATGAGTAGTATTTTTAATAAATATTTTGTATCTGTATTTACTAAAGAGGAACTTAACAATATGCCTTCAGCCGAACAAGTCTATGTGGGTGGGGACGAGGACTGGTTGACGAGTTTAGCAGTTACCAGGGAGGATGTTCTTAAACAAATAGTAAAACTCAAACCAAACAAATCCCCAGGGCCGGATGAAGTGTTTGCTAGGGTGCTTAAAGAATGCAAAGAGGAGCTTTGTGACCCACTGTCAACCATATTTAATAAATCAATAGAGTCAGGCAGAGTGCCAGAGTTTTGGAAAGTTGCTAATGTGATACCAGTTTTTAAGAAAGGAGATAGATCACTTGCGTCTAACTATCGACCAATTAGCCTAACGTCTATTGTGGGAAAGTTACTCGAATCTATAATAGCAAATAAAATTCGTCTTCATCTTGAAAAACATAAATTAATAATTGAGTCGCAACATGGTTTTATAAATGGCCGTTCATGTTTAACAAATTTGTTATCTTTTTATTCTAGCATTGTTGAGGCAGTTGATAGTGGTAAGGATTGCGATGTTGTATACCTTGACTTTAGCAAAGCTTTTGATACAGTGCCACATGAAAGACTGATTAAAAAAATAGAGTCTCATGGTATTGGGGGTGCTATATTAAGCTGGATTAGGGCATGGCTATACCAAAGGAAACAGAGAGTTAGTATAAATGGAATCAAGTCAGAGTGGGAAAATGTTGTAAGTGGAGTGCCTCAAGGCTCTGTCCTGGGACCTCTGTTGTTTATAATATATATAAATGATTTAGATTCAGGTTTGAGTAGCAACATTTGCAAATTTGCCGATGATACGAAAATCGGTAGGGAAATTAACTCGGAGGAGGACTCACTATCACTTCAAGTTGATCTAGATAGGGTTTTGAAATGGTCAAAGGATTGGCAGATGCAGTTTAATGCTGATAAATGTAAAGTTCTGAGGTTAGGTAATGATGATAGAGTTACAAGATACGAGCTAGATGGTGTTGTGATTGCGAAGTCGGATTGCGAAAGGGATCTGGGAGTTATGATTAGTAAGAATTTAAAACAAAAGGATCAATGCATAAATGTTCGTAATAAGGCAAATCGGACACTTGGATTTATTAATCGCAGCGTTAGTAACAAGACACCTGGTGTGGTTCTCAAGCTATATCTTGCTCTAGTTAGGCCCCATTTAGATTATGCAGTTCAGTTTTGGTCGCCATATTATAGAATGGATATAAATTCACTTGAACGTGTCCAGCGTAGGATGACTAAGTTAATTCCCCAAATTAGAAATCTTTCATATGAAGAAAGATTAACAAAGCTTAAGTTGCATTCACTGGAAAGGCGAAGAGTTAGGGGTGACATGATAGAGGTTTACAAGTGGATGAATGGACATAACCGGGGGGATATTAATAGGGTATTAAAAGTATCAACACAGGACAGAACACGAAACAATGGATATAAATTGGATAAGTTTAGATTTAGGAAAGACTTGGGTAAATACTGGTTCAGTAACAGGGTTGTTGATTTGTGGAACCAATTGCCGCGTAACATTGTGGAGGTGGGGTCCCTCGATTGTTTCAAGCACGGGTTGGACAAGTATATGAGTGGGATTGGGTGGTTATAGAATAGGAGCTGCCTCGTATGGGCCAATAGGCCTTCTGCAGTTACCTTTGTTCTTATGTTCTTATGTTCTTATGTTCTCTTTTCACCCTCCCCTCTCCTTCCCTAGGTGGCAGTTTGCCAAGGCTGACTGGAACCTCTTCACCTTATGCGCTACTCTTTCTGACCTCTCTGATCTGTCTCTCCTTCGAGCCCTCCTCCTTTTTCATGAAACCGTTTACGACGCTGCCCTCCCTGGTCGCGCAGGAGTACGTTCTCTAGTGGAACGCAGACTGTGTTCGAGCTGTCTGCTTTATGTGTGTAGCCTGGAAGAAACGATGAAGGACGCCCTATTCTTTTATTTTGTTTCAGAAGACATGTGCGGTGGCCCGTAGGGCCATCCTAAAGGCTAAGTGTGAGAATTGAAAATCTTATGTCTCAACCATTACCACTGACACTCCTCTGTCCCTGATCTGGAAGAAAATCCGTAAAAGAGTGCGTAAGTTTGCTACAGATGTCTTGCCTGTCCTTCACCTCCATGCTTCTATTGTGGCCGATACTTTTACACAGCAAAAGTTCATAGTTCGGTCGCGACCGAACTAGGTTCACATTTTTTGACTGTTTGCTCAGGTTCTCATCTTTCTCCTTCTTTCCTTACTTGTAAGACCCCTTTTGAATTTTGTTCCTTAGATTTTCGCACTCATCTTCAGCTTCTCCATAACGATCCTTTCTCTCATAACTCCAGTCTGCCCAGGCCCTTTTGTGGTTTAGATGATATTCATTACAAGATGCTTCACCATCTTCCTCCATTCACGTTTCAGTATTTACTGAATATTTATAACCGTGTCTGGGAGTCGGTCGTCAGTCCCTGAGGACTGCCTTGAAGCAGTTGTTCTTCTAATTCGGAAACCTGGTTCTCTAGGGTCTAACCCAAAAAACTTCCGCCCCATTGCTCTAACGAGTTGCCTCTGCAAAGTCTTCGAATGTCTGGTTAATGTCCATCTGATGTGGTTCATGGAACGCTATCACCACCCCTCCCCTTATCAATTTGGCTTTCACAAGTGTCGCAGCACGACTGATGTCTTAGTAAATCTGGTGGTCTATATTCGTACTGCTGTAGCGAGTAGATTATCCCAATAATATACTCGCTCCAAATGCTTTGTTAATATTCCTGTCAACCTTTGGAGATGAATGAGGTGAGGCGTTGCCCGGACAACACGGTGAGGCGTTGCCCGGGCATATAAGCAGCAGGATAGCAAACATTAAGCAGAGTCTACTTTCAAGTGTGGTCTAGAGCAGACACTTGCGAGATACTTTACCAACGCTCAGTGCGCTCAATTCACACCAACGTATCACCTGTGTACTTCTGTATATTCGACCAAATATATATATAGTATCTTAGTGTCTGTGTTTATTTGTCACCATACTCTACGTAACAATAGAACCGTTACACTGCCTTTGCTTAGAAAACCGCCATTGTTGCTGTCCTTTTTGACCTGGAAGCCGTATGACACCATCTGTAGATACTGTATTCTGTCCCATCTCCGTTCTTTTGGTCTTCGTGGTAATCTCTCTTTCTTCTTACAAAGCTTCCTCTCTAGTCATATCTCTTATCTCCGAGTTGAATGCTCTACGGCCCTTAACTTACTTAAGGTCTTATCCCATACTTCCTGGGGAGCTGATATTCGCACGCTCCTCTTTTCATACCTCTCTTGTGCTGTCTAAACTTGATTATGGCTGCCTCTGCAGCCATAATGAAGGGAGAGGCACTCATCTGCCTCTCCCTCAACTCCTCGTCGACTTCGTGTTCTTCACCATACTGGGTTATGCCTCGGCTCTGGTGTCTTTCGTTCGACTCTTATCCAGAGCTTGTATGTTGAGGCCAGCATCCTGTCTCTACAGGATCGCCATGATCGCTACTGTCTTCGCTACTTTGCGCATTCTTTACAACACCCTCACTCTCGCTTATGTCGTACTCTGATTATTACCCCTCCTGTGGGGCCTTTTCCCTTTCACCACCATCCCCATCCTGTACGATTGTCTTGTTTGCAAGGTTCTCTCTCTCGGTTCGTGTTTCTAATATTTCTCCTCGTGGCGTTCCATCCATGCCCCCATAGAGGGGGTCTCTCTTCCTAAATTTTGTAAAATCTTGACCAGCATAACAAAAGCTTTTACCACTCCAACAGTTCTAAAATGCCTTTTCCTTGCTCACTTTTCTTCACACTACCATTCCATTTCTTTCATCACAAATGGGTCAAAGTCTGCCGACGGTGTAGGCAAACTCTTTCCTGACTACATCTATATGTGTCGCCTGCCTCCATAGACAAGCCTCCTCATGGCAGAACTTTATGTAATTTTGTATGATTTTCGTAAACTGCTTTCTGGACATCATTCTTCCTTTGTTGTTGTAATTGACTCTCGCAGTGCCCTCATGGTCCTGGAGTTCTTTAATCCTGTCCATCCTGTGGTTTTCGAAATTCAACATTGGCTGTTTCTTATAATTCAGCAAATTTAAGACATTCGAGTTTTGATGGGTTCCCAGCCACATTGGTGTTTACTTGAATAGGGTTTACTTACCCCCTTAGCGGATGCAGCCGCTAAGGGGGCTATCAGCACTTGTCCCATTTCCCGCAAAGGTGTCCCTTATTTCAACTTCTACCCAGTTATTTATTCCTCAATCCATGCCCGTTGGCAGGATCACTGGTATTCTGTTAACAGAAACAAACTGTGTGCTCTTAAAAGTCACGTGTCCCCATGACCTTGCTCCTACCACCGAAACCGGCGATGAGAAACGACTCTGGAGAGTTTAAGAATTGATAATACACGTTTAATTCACGGGCACCTAATAAAGCGCCGCCCTGCTCCTTATTGTCCAAACTACATTATCCCACTTACGGTCGTGCATATCCTTGTTGAATGTCATGACTTCCATCGATGTTCATGAGTCTTGGTTCCGGACTGTCCCTCGCGGTCACCTGTCCCTCGATATAATCCTTGATGAATTTGATACCTTTGATATCGTTCGCCTTATGTACTTTTGTTCTTGTATTGGCACCCTTAGTGATATTTAGCGCCTTTAATATCCAGAATATTTGAAGGTGCTACATAACCTTCCTGGCTTGGTGCCTTCTTTTGATAATTAATTACTGACGCCCACGGGGTTATAAATCCATGGAATCGCCTACTCGTCGAAACCATTAATACCAAAACACTGATGAATTACATAAAAATATCTTAAACCATTCTAATATCATATTTTTACATAATTTGTTATAAGCAAAGCTGTTTTTGAATGGCACTTATGTTTAGAAGAATAGTCATACAGATAACGATGACACTAACTAGCATTTTGATGTTGAGGATGGAGAGGATGGCAGCAGCCCAGAGGACAAGGACCATGATAGAGGCTGAGGCGCAGGCTGAGGCCAAGCTGCTCACCGCTGACGCCCAGGCTGCAGCCATACAGGTTAGTTACTTGGTAATAACCTTTTCTGTAAGAATTTGTTTATAGGTAAATGTTGAAGAGATTTAAAATATTGTAGCACTATTGACCTAATTGGATAGTCCTGCTGGTGACCAGAGTTTCAGTTTGATTTGTCAATATTGGGGTTAATGTTATGTTAAATGTTAATTATGTTAAAGACTGTACCTCTCCCAACCAATTTAAAATAAAAACTAAGTACTACCTAATTAACTCAATGTAACCTACCTCACCCCCCAAAATGTCAACCCATGTCTTCTATTTTAAACAATGCTGTTTTGTTGACCAAATTGTATTTTTGCTTTTTTTCTGCCATGTCCCCCCCCCCCTTTCCATTTTTTCTTTTTTTTTTCTCAACACAATTTATACTTTAATCTCAATTAGTATTAGTTTTAGTCTTTAATGTTTTTCCTGCCCGAAACGCTTTGCGTAATAGTGGCTTTAGGCATTGTATGTACTAGCTCTATCTATAAATCCATCAACTTTTGTATCTTACCTTGTATGTATGTACTTTACCTGAATAAAAATTTGTATTTGTATTGTATTTTTTGTAATGTTTTGTTTATAATTTACCTCCAGAATGGTAAATTCGGGAATATTATTTATGAATTTCCTTGCATTAAATGGAGATAATAACGTAATTGTATAAAATTACGATAGAGATATAAATATGTTATAACACGTATTTACTTCCAACCACAGGCAAAAGCTCAGGCAGAAGCCAGAAATATGTATTATAAAGCCGAGGCCTGGAAGGAATTTGATAACGCAGCCATTCTCAGCATGTATCTCCACACCCTTCCTAAGGTGAGGCCAGCATGGATGATAGTCCTTAACACTGCGCAGTCCATCACCTTATTATATTTTATTTATTGATATAAACAAAGATACAATGGATTGTTAAAGTACATAGCGGTTTGCACAGGTCTTTAACCTAACATATAAACGTAATGATGGCACATTGTAAAGAGAATTTGAATTCGCATAACTACATCAGTATAAAGAGATAAAATAAAATTATTCCAATGAAGTTGCATTTCTACATTGTAATATACTTGGTGAGTTGATAGTACAACATGGGAGACTGAAGATGAAATTATATTGACATATTATGTGGCACAGAAATTTAGGATCTTCATAGGTCTACTTATGAATAAAGTATAAGTTGGATTTTATTTTAATTAATTAGGGAGTGAGTTCCATATATTGGGTCTTTCTATTTGTATGGCATGTTTACTTAGATTTAGTCTGGAATTGTCAAAGAGAAAATTATTTCTGGTATGTTGCTCGTAGATTCTATTACATCTATCAAGGAAGAGTTTCAGAACAGGATTAGAGTTTAGGAATAGGGTTTTGTAAGTGTAAGAAGCATAGTAGCACAAGAGAATGTGTGTATGTTTTGCATGTTTAATGATTTAAACAGAGGGGCTCTTTGTTGTCTGAAGACAGTTTGTTATAGTTCTGATTTTTGCTGGGTGATGGGCTTGAAGTAATTTGCAGTAGTCGAACCCCATTCACAGATTCCTTATGTACGACAGAGGTAGATTAGTACATAGTATAATTTATAATACTAATTAGGCATCTTAAGTAAATTTTTATTTATTATATGTTTTATGTTGTAGATGGTGCATGGTGTGAGCAGGTCTTTATGCAATGCCTCACGTGTGAAGATGGTGTCCTCAGGCGACTCTCCTGTGGGAGCAAACAAGCTGACACAGGAGGTCATCAATATCACCAACAGTGTCCCTGAGTTGATTAAGAATGTAACAGGCATTGACCTTTTGAAGATTACATGTGCCAAGGGTCCCTAATCTAGCACATGAAACAGCCTACTTTGAGGTTGTTCGAAGGATCAGTGCCCCCATAGCCCGGTCTTTGACCAGAAGATAGTTTATAACAAAGTCAAGAGTGTATCAGATAAATATTCGGAACTTGCCTTGGATCTTCATAGCCCTGATTGCTTATTATTATTATTATTATTATTATTATTATTAGCATTTTTGCTTTAAAGAAGCCATTTGTAATATGTAATTTAGTTCTTGACGATACAGATTTAATATCAATTAATTATTGTCACAGAATAAATGGTAGTGGAAGTTTCTGTATAAATAATTTTTGTTTTTTGCTAATTGCCTTTATTTTCAAACTGTTGGTATACAACAAGGTCTTGTTGAAGACAATTTGAAAAGGAAGATGTGATAAATTTATTGCTGACATTGTTCTGCTTGTGAAAATACTTTTGAATATTTGTTTTTGTTATATAATACCTGCCAAAGATAAATATCTGCATATTGGGTAGTGTAACCCTTTCTGTAATCTATTTGTTAAACTGTTGGTAACCTCCCAGGGAGTACATATTTTTACATTGTATTATATTTTTTTATATCCGGAAACAGTTAAAATGATTGACATATATATTATAACAACAAATCATTGTTTGTAGTTGAGTAAGCTGCGTCCTCGATTCACAATCAAGGATCGTGGGTTCGATCCCCGGGTAGAACAGAAATGGATGGGCACTTTTCTTTTTCAACCGCTGTCTTTCTTCACATATCAGTAAATAGGAAACCCATGAGTTAGGCAACAATTGTGGGTTGCATCCTGGGCAAAGTCAGTAATTCACAAAGGGACCTCGATAGGCCTATTAGATAATGTCCAGAGTTTAGTCCAATTATAGGCGACCCTCCACACAGCAATAAATAATATCACCATCTGGACAACCAGCCATGGTTTAAATTTTCGACCAGGAAACATTGCACATCACCCTCCCATCACACTAAATACCCAAATTAATTGCAAGGATTATGTAAAGTTATTAGGAGTAATTTTTAATGCTAGTTTGATAATTGAGAGTTTGACTTTGATAATCCATAGCCTTGACTGTATCTCACCCTAAGAATGTACCTCTTACCCGTAATTGTATTTCTCCATAGACTGTACCTCTTAACCATGACCATATCTCTCCATAGACTGTACCTCTTACCCACGAGTCCTTGTTTCTTGTCTGTGACAAGAATCAGACCTTTTGAAGAAGTCGTCTTGATCCATATCCTCAATATTCAATATTTTAACTCTCAGATCCCATCTATATTTAAGACTTGTTCACTTTAGAGATCTAGACAGCTTTGGATTTTAGAAACAATTGGTATTTTCAAAGATCAACCCCCTCCCCATCCGGCCCGTTGGCGTCGTGAGGGGGGCTTCGTGGTCGGCTGCCGGAGTGTGATGCTCCGTGGGACAGTCCTCTGTCCTTTTATGGCCTTGCACTCCTGCTGCTGTCTTCTCTAATTATGCCGGATCGCTTTTCCTTTTCATTATGTTTCGTTTTTCTCCCCCCTCTTCTCCTATCTGCTTGTCGTTTCCTGCCGACCTTTTGCTTGTTTTGGATTATTTCTTTGGACTTCTTCTATTTTGACGCCCGGGTGCTTGGGGAGGCATACTCTTGCACCCGTAGAACTGTTGTACCCGACGTCTCGAGCGAGGGGAACCTTTTATTGTCAATCCCCCTTTCGTCGCTGAACCCGATCTCGACAGACTGACGGTTCTTAAGGTGGCGTTTGTGGGGCGTATACTCACGACGCACCCCTAGGGGGCCCCGGCATGATCGGCGATAGCTTCCTGTTGGGTGTCTTGCCTCTAATTGTGGCTCCATGGTGGGTATGGGGGCACATTCGTGGATGAATTTCTTTCTCTTCGTCTCTATGTCGATGAATGTTTCCGTTGTACCCTCTCAGGCTCGTCGGGTGGGCGACCAAGCCCCCGAGTCGGCCTGTATTGGAAGACCAGGCTCTGTAGCTCCCGCTGCGTTGGGCCCCGACCTTGCTCCTCCTTTGACCGTCCTGACTTCTTCCCCCAGCTCCCCTCCCTCCTCTGTGGTTGGGTCGAGCCTCCAGCCCCCAGTGGTGACCACTTCGTCCCCTGGTGCGGCTAAGTCTCTCGTTGCGACTACTGCGCCTTTTAACCCCTTTCTCTCTGGGGGTTCTCAACGCCATTCGCGCCCCAGCCGCACTCGCTCGATTCCTTCCCGTGCTGACGCGTATCAGGCCTTGTTTGGTCCTGCTTCATGGGCCAAATACTTTGATCTCCCTCTTGATTCTGCGCCTCCTGACGATTTCTCCCTCCATCGGCATCTTGTAGATTCCGTGGATACGTCTGTTACTTTCAACCCCACTCGTCTCGGTACACGTGTCGTTGCTGCTCCTTCTCAGGATGCAGCTTCCCGCTTGGCTGCCTTATCTTGCCTTGTCGAGATCCCTGTTCGGGTCTCCAAGAACGTTCAGATGAATGCCAGTGTTGGCACTATTCTCCTCCCACCCCATTTTGCAACCGGTGTTCAGAATCTGCAGGATTGCCACGATGATATTCGGCATATCCTTGATGCCCAAGGCCATTCTGTCCTCCAGGTTGACTCGTTTACTCGTCCACCTCGTGGTCGTCGCCGTCAACCTCTTCGCGTTGTGAAGATCACCTTTGATGGTAGGACCCTTCCATCCTCTGTCATTCTTGCTGGTGCTAGGTGCTCTGTCCAGGAGTATATTCCTTCTCCTCGACTTTGTAACAAGTGCTGGAGGTTTGGGCATGGTGCCCTCCACTGCTCTGGGACTGTCTCTCTCTGTCCTTTGTGTGGGGGTGAAGGTCACTCTAAGTCGGAGTGCACTTCTCCCCAAGCTCGCTGCCTCAACTGCGGTGAGGCCCATCCTACCTTCTCCCGTGCCTGTGTTCATTACAAGCTTGAGGCAGCCGTCCTCAACCTGAAGCACCGGGAGCGTTTATCTTTTCCTGAGGCGAGGCGCCAGGTTCGCCGGCTCCCGCCTTATGCTAACGTCTCTTATGCTCGCGTGTTGCGCTCTTCCTCTCCTCGTCCTTCCCTCCTTCCTCAGACTCACAACCGTTTCCGGGCCTTGGACCCTGATACGCCCACTGCCCCCTCCTCTGTTCCTTTGCGTTCTGTCCCGAGGGGTCCCCCTCCTGGTCCTCTGTCTGGGGTTCCCCTTCTTTCTACCCAGTCTGTCATGTCTCCTGTGTCTTCTTCCTCCTCTCCCTCCGATCCTCTTCCTCCATCTATCGGCTCTCCCTGCCGCCTGTCGGTGCAGGCGGATGTTCATCGCTCTCCTAACGGCCGTCGTGTGTGCTCTCGTTCAGCTTCTCCTGTTGAGACACTGGAATCCGTTGCCCGGTACGTAGTTGCTGGGACACCAGTCTCTTTAAGTCAGAACCGTAAGCCTGGCTCCTCTCCTTCCTCCTCCCCGGCGAGTAAGAAGGCTTCGCTTTCTTCCTCAGCTCCTACTTCTGGCTCTGTTGCTCCTTCCCCTCCCATTTCAGTGATTGCGCCCCCTGTTCCTGCTATGGAGGTTTCTTTGGCCCCTGCTTCCCTTTCGGTTGCTGCTCTTGCTGAGGTGCGCTCCCCTCTTTCTACTCCCCCTCTTCCTGCTGCTGTCCTTGACTGCTCCTCTCCGTTGTCTCCTCCTCTTCCTTCTCCTCCTTCGGACCCCGCCCGCCCACCTCTGATCTGTTCTCCCGTTTCCTTCCCTCCGTCTTTGCTCAGTTTACCCATGCCCTCTAACCCTGACTTTGCTGACCCTGATCCCGACCCTGATATTCTTTAACGTGCTATGTTGCTCTTTCGCCTTTGTTTCTACCTTGTTCTCTGTTTTTGTCCTTTCTCTTCTCGTCGTTGTCCATTCTTCAATGGAACGTTCGAGGTTATTACGCCAATTTCCTCGAACTCCAACTTCTGATTTCGCGGTTTTCGCCCCTTTGTGTCTGTCTCCAGGAGCTCGTCCTTGGTGCTTGTCCTGGTCGTTTTCGTGGCTATTCCTTCTCTCCACCCCCCCCCCCACCCCAGCCATTGCTGGGGCTTCTAATTCTTCTGCTCTCTTGATTCATGCTGATGTTCCCTTTGTTCCTTTACTTTTTCCTTCGCCTCTCCATTGTTTTGCTGCTCATATCTTTGTGGGGAAATGGTACACAGTTTGTTCCATTTTTCTCCCCCTGAGTGTCCCGCTCTCTCTTCCTGATTTGAAACACCTCCTAGACTCCTTGCCGGAGCCTGTGCTACTGCTGGGTGACTTCAATTGTTGTCATTCTCTTTGGGGTGACGTTCTGACGAATACCCGGGGTCGCCTTCTTGAGCCGTTTCTCCTCTCTTCTTCCCTTTCTCTTCTGAATTCTGGTGAGCCCACTCATGTGGACTCTTGGACTCGCACCCTTTCTTGTCTTGATCTTTCTCTCTGCTCTTCTTCTCTTTACTTAAATTTCACGTGGCAGGTTCTTGATGACCTCCATGGAAGTGATCATTTCCCCATCCTTGTTTCCTTTTTCTCTTTTCGCCCTTCCCTCTCTTTCCCTAGGTGGCAGTTTGCTAAGGCGGACTGGACCCTATTTACCCTCAGTGCTGCTCTCTCTGACCTCTCCCTTCTGCCTCTCTCTCGCGCTCTCCTCCTTTTTCATGACACTGTCTTCAACGCTGCCCTCTGCTCTATTCCTCGCTCTTCCTCTCGGGGTCCACGGAAGTGCGTTCCCTGGTGGAATGCGGACTGTGCTCGGGCTGTCCGCTGTAAGCGTGCAGCCTGGAAGAGGCACCGCCGTAGGCAGACGACCGATTCTTTTCTTTTCTTTCGGAAAGCGAGTGCGGTGGCCCGTAGGGCCATCCGTACAGCTAAACGTGAATGTTGGGCATCTTATGTCTCAACAATTACGTCCGAAACTCCTCTGGCCCAGATCTGGAAGCGTATCCGCAAGATAGCGGATAAGTTCGTTCCCGATGTTTCACCGGTCCTTCACCTCCATGATACTCTTGTGGCGGACCCGTTGCAGGTCGCTTCCGTACTGGGTTCCCACTTTTCCTCTGTTAGCTCTGGTCTTCATCTTCCCCAATCTTTCCTTCTTCGTAAACCTGTCCTTGAGTCTCGTCCTTTAGATTTGTGCACTCGTCTTCAGCTTCCCTATAATGATCCCTTCTCTCTCTCTGAACTTCGTTCTGCCCTGGCCCTCTGCGGTTCTACGGCGGCGGGCTCCGATGGTATTCATTATGAGATGCTTCGCCATCTCCCTCTGTGCACGTCTCAGTATTTACTGAGTCTGTATAATAGGATCTGGGTGTCGTCGTCAGTC